CTGATTACCTAATCAGCAAAAAAGAGAACTACTACTGTCTACCTCATAGGATTATTGTAAGGCTAAAAAGAAACAGTAATTAGGGTAGGAAGAAATCTAAGATGATCCCCAAGATTCTTGCCCTTGTTGTACAAGCCTGCATAATCCCCTTCCCCTGAGTGTGGGTAGGACCTGGGAACCTGATGGGATGCTCAGTCTTATGATTACTGTTAACTTTATACAAAACAGTCTAAAAGACTGGGGAGAGATTCTCCTGATGGCTTTGAAGAAGTAAGCAGCCATGGTGTGAGAGGCCCATGTGGCTAGGACCTGAGGGCAGTCAGTACCCAGGAGCTAAGAACCACCCTGATCCAACAACCAGCAAGAAAACAGGACCTTAACCTTATAGCTGCAAGGGATTGAATTCTGCCAACAACCTAATGAGTTTGGCTTGGCCCCAGGCCTCAGCTGAGATCATAGGCCCTGCAGATACCCTGCTTCCAGCCCAGGGAGACACTGAGCAGAGGAGCCAGTGAGCAGCGCCTGGGCTTATGACCTACAGAAACTGTAAGATAATAAACTGCTGTTGTTTTAAGCTGCTAGGTTTGTGGTAATTCATTAGGTAGCAATTGAAAACTAATATAATAATCTTAGTTTGAACCAAATTGCTATTTGAGCAGGTCAAAAACAGTTCACTATAGGTAATTGCATATGATTAGCTGAATGCAGATGCAAAGGGCCTAGCACATACTAAGCATTTGATAAATTCCACTGTTACTATTCCCATGGCTCCACTAAAGGGTGCTTTGGCATACTCAACGACTCAGTGCACTTCCTTTTCCCAGTACTGGCTTTGACAGCTGCCACACTGCCCCTAGGCTCCTCCTTCCCCCAAACCGCCTTGCCCTGTGTTAGAAGGAAGAGCTCAAAGCCCATTTACACTCCTCCTGAGAAGCCCATGGCACAGCTCTTGAGCTAGGCTGCCTCTCAGGCCCCAGAGCAGCAAAAACACCAGCGTCAACAGACAGCAGAAAACAACACCTCTAGGGCAGAGGTAGCAGTTGCCCACCAGCCCCATCCTGGCTCCAGGAGAGGGCAGCTGCTTGAGAGATTCCAGGAGGCTAAGCAACCGCCTGCCTCTGGACTCTCCCCTTCTTGCCTTCCCTATGGGTCTCTGGAGCCCCACCACGTGGAACTGTGCATTGCTCCTTACAGGAGGACCCTGCGCAAGGGCAAAGGGTTCGTGTTACATAACAAAACGCAAGGCGCTTTCAAACTAACACACTGGTCTGGATCCCTACATCCAACGACACATAGAGATCTGAAAAATAGTGGGGCCCTTGGGGAATGGGACACTGGAGAGGTAAGCTTTGATTGGGTCTGCAAAGAGGCTAACAAAGACCGGAAAGGTCTGGAACAGACCATCAGAAGAAGGAGAAGCTTGTGGCTCACACCTTCTACAATGTCTGCTGGTATCTGCTTCCACAAATGATCCACCCTCCTCACTTCCCAAAAAAATCTCTTAGAATCTCTAAATGTACACAGAATTTCAAAGAGATCTCAATAAACTGGGGTGGGGAGAGTGGGAATAAGAATCTCCAGCTGGATGAGTTCTCCAGGATCCATATAAACCCTGGGACCCAGTGATAGAGACAGATTTTTATTTACTTTGAGGTGTCAAATAGTAGGCAACATGAATTACTATTCATGGATTAATCTATTTAATCCTCCTGTGATAAGAATTATTATGCCTCCTTTACAGATGAGGAAACCAAGGCACAGGTTGAGTAGTTTCCCTAAGGTCACAGGGACAGAGCTGGGGCTTGAACAGATCCCACAACTCATGTTCTTAACCACTGAGCCAAATAACTACAGGTTTTAAAATAAATTTTTGGTTTGAGTTGACTGCAGTCAATAAAAACAACTGTTTAGGAGTAAACTATAGATTAGCCCAAGAGATACCCTACAGGAAGCAGGGGCCCTAACTTGCCCATCCCACAGTGTCATCTGTCTTCAATGGACACTTGGCTGGGCCTCTGCTGTGCTCCTGTGCTGGGGCTCAGATGTGCCCCTGTACCAAGCAGCTTTGCTCAACTAGGAGTGCCCTAGGCTAGGCATGGCAGGGCGTCAGGTCCTCCCCTGGACAAGAGGAGGGAGTTCCTAGGGCTACAAGAGGTGGCAGGGACCTTTCCAAGGAGCAGTGAGGGAAAGGAGCTGGCTCCCAGTCAGGCTACATTGGCCCACTCATCTCCAGCTGCCCATTCTAAAGCCTCCTGGAGTTACCCTAACAACCCCTCTGCCTGCCCTGCTGTTCCCTGCCCACCAGCAGGTGTCACCTAGATGCTCTGGGCAAGGGCACCCATAGCTTCCTGCCCTGGGGCCCAGTTAGTGTTGACCATGGGATGCAGGGGAGGACTTGAGTCTCCTTATTGGTGACAATGGAGCGCAGAATATGCTAGAGAAAGCCATTCTGTGCAGCTCTTTCTCCTCCTCCTCTCCTGCTTTTCCTTCTCTCCCTCTCTGTTCTAAAATCTGGATGGCTGGACCTGATTGAGACAAAAAGATGATGTACAGTTTCAAGTCCACCCAGAGCATTTTCTCGCCGCCCACCCCTCCCCCCTCTCTATTCCAGGTTTCTCCTCCCTCCATACCCCCTTCCTACCAAAGCCCACTTTCCCACCCTCTGGCTTTCAGAAAAGTAGAAGCAGGGCCTGGGTGAGCTTCTCTTCAGGCTGATGGGTCATGTTCCCTGGGAAGGAATGGACACCCAAGCTGATCCCCGACTCATATCCCCCAGGAACTCAGATACACCCCCACATCTCTTAGGCAGAAGGTTTGAGCCTTTTGGACACCTCCATTTCCAAAGAGCACACAGGAGGGGCCAAGAGTTTTTGCCTTACAGTCACCATTGTAGCTACTTATTGAGCACCTACTGTGTGCCAAGGAAGTGCAAAGTAGTATGCTGGGTGCTTCAGGACCCTTTACTCTTTTAAGTTAATTCTTCCAACAGTATTTGTTGAGTACCTATCAAAACGGGTGCCAGCCACCCGTCCAAACATGGGAGCTACCTCGGCAAAAAGGGTTTCTAAGCAAACACAGGCTCATTGCTTGCACTTGACAAACCAGTTTAGTTGGAGGAAACCAAGGCTGAAAGTTTGCCTCAAGTGGTGGAGCAGATTCTGTTTTAAGGTGTCTTAACTCCAAAGCTACCATGCCGTAGGTGCTCTCTGCCTTTCTGCTCTCCCCTGAAGTAGAAGATCCATGGTTCTGAGTCAAGGTGGGGATCCCTGCCCTCAAATGCTTCTGTGATTGCTTTGGGGGAGGAGGGATGATGTCTACACACCTGAATTGTCTTCACAGGTTGGGTGCTTAGTATATGACTGACCTCGTGGCCCCGGCTGAGTACTAAGGACCCAGGGGACACATAAGACAATGATTCTGGCTGGGTGTCTCATGGGTGAGAAGGATGGCTGGAAGTAGGGGAGCATGAGGCCAGGCTTTTCAAGATGGTGGGGAAATGAACTGGCAGAGATGAATGTGGGGTGAAATCTGGATGGGGACTGGGTTGTTCAGAGGCTGGGAGATGAGAAGGATCCTTAGACAGCTCTGACACAGGCATGACTAAGGGCTAGGAAGATGCATCAGATGCAGGGATGTACGCCCCACAGGAGAAGGGAGGGCAGGCTGTGGCAGCTGCTGAAGGCTGAGGAGGTGAGACTGGAGCTAATGGGCCATCAGAAATCTCCCAGCAGATTAATCGCAAGATCCACATGGCGTCTGGAGATAATTCTGACAGCACTGTGTATATGGGGGAGACATGGGAGTTATCACCAGAGCCCTGAACGGCTGGGCTTAGGGGGCAGCGACGTTCCACCTCACTGGCCCTCACTCCCACTCACCTTCAAATCCCCCCAAATCCCCCCTCCCTCACACCTCAGCCAAGCTCCTCTAGCTCTGTCGATACCTCCCCAATGTCACAACTTTGGAATACAGGGTTGGGGCTATGAGAGTGGCTGAAGGGTCTGATCAAAGAAGGTCCTGAGAGTGGATGGGGCAGGCAATTTGGAACCTGGGTAGAGCGACGACTCCAGAAATGCTGTGGTCATTTGGGGCAGGGGGAATGGCATCTCCGGGATGATGAGGTGGACCACACCTGGGTCACAGAGTTCCTCACAGTCCCAGCAAGGCAGTGATCCTGGGCCAGCCACAGGGCAACTGCATTATGGAAAAATCCCTCCTTCCCCACCTGTATCCCCTTAGTGCCTGGGGCAGCCTTCCCCTCAGCTAGAAGCTGGGGGGCACCCAGCTTTTAGAGGAGTCAGCCCCAAAGACTGTGAAATGACTGAGAATTTGGGGGCGGTAGCCCACAAAAACACTACCCTCCCTCCCCTGCTGGACTCCAAAATTCCACACTCAGTGTTCTAGTCCTTTGGCTTAAGGTATTGTACCCAAGTTATTGTTTGTCTGATGGTGCCACTTTAAGTTGTTATCAGGTATCCACACCTCAGTATGAATGAGTCAATCTGATCTTTTCCAAGAGTCAGTTTTGTTGCTGGAAGAGAAGAAAGGCTTTAGAGTCCTGGGGTCTAGGACGGTGGGAGCGGTGGGGGAGGAGAAGATGAGGAAGGGGGCAAAGGAAGGGGAAGAAGAGAGGAAAAGAGGGCACAGGGCAGAGGGGGAAGAGATGAGGAAAATCACTCTCTTCTCGATTTGGGGAGGGACTGATCAGAATTAGCCTGTGCAAAAACTGGTAAAGCCTTCACTACCTCCCTCTCCCGACTTGGGCGCCTGGACCCCCTATTCCTGCGTGCAAACTTTCCCGGATACGACCCCAAGCCTGGCTTCCCATTCCGCGGTGGCCACCGGCGGCTGGGCAGCGGCTCTTGCCTAGAAGGAGGGGCGCGTCCTAGAGGAGAGGACACTTTGGAAGGGGGCGTGCGGAGGTAGGGTCGAAGCGGCAGGGGCCGCGGGGCTCCAGGTCCAGGGGTGGCGCAGGGGGACCCGGACAGCGGGCGGCTCACCTGCAGGACACGGTGATCTCCACCTTGGTGGCCGGGATGCTGCCCGCCAAGGAGTCGAACTCGCTCAGCGACGCCATGTCCTCGGGCTGCTCCATCACCCACCGCACCCCCCACCCCACCCCAAATTAGTCAATCCTTGCCCGTTTCACGCCTCCTCCAGAGCGACTGAAACCCTGGACTCTCCCCCAACTCCGGAGCCGGGGCTGGGCGGCAAAGGGCGGAGAGAGGAGCGCGAAGAGGGGGCGTGGGAAGTGAGCGAGGGAAGGGGGGCGGAGGGAGCGGGAACCTCGGATAGAGGAGGGGGTGCGGGTGACGCGGCGAGGAGGCTGGGGGCCCAGCGGAGAGGGGCAAGGTGCCCCGGGAGCTGGGGCGCGGCGGGGAGAGGCGGAGGGTGCGGGCGCCAGGAGGGGCGCGCGGAGTCGTGGAGAGCGACCCGGGCAGGGGACGTACAGCTTCGGGCGTGGGCAGGAGTGCCGGAGGGGGAGTAGGCGTGAGGGGCCGGCTGGGGCGCGGGCGGCGGGGGCGGCTGGACGCCGGCAGCGCGGAGCCGCAGCGCCGGGACCGCGCCGCCTTTCGCTGGGTCTCGGCGCCGGCGGCGGCGGGGCTGGGGACGAGGCTGCGAACGCCGCCTCCTTGGCTCCGGCTCGGGCTTCGGGGCTCCCAGGCTACGGGAAAGTCAAATCTGCCCGAAGCGGCCGCCTCCCGCCACGCCGGGCGGGCTGCGTGCGGGGAGAGCGAGCGCCGGAGGGGGCGCCGCAGGGGCCTGGGAGGGGCCGCGGGCGGGGTCTGCGCGCGGGTGTGAGTCTGAGTGCGTGTGTGCGCGCGTGGGGACGCGGCTCCAGATGCTGGGAGCCCGGGGGTGATGAGAGGAGATGGCCCCGGCCGTGCGCGCCTCCATCTGCGCCCACCCCCTCAGGGGTCTCCATACCGGGGCTGGGAGAGCGTTGTGTGAATCGGGGGGCGTCTGTTTGAGGAGGGTCTGTGCGGGGCGGGGGTTGGGTAGGACGTGTGCAAAAGAGACGCCGCCACTCCCAGAGGCTTAAGGCTCTGCTGAGGGTGCGTACCACCAGGGAACGGGTTTCAGTCCAAAAGAGGACTCCACCTCTCCTGGGGAGCATGTGGGGACGACCCCAGCGGCCGGAGGGGCCGCCTTGGTTTCCTAGCGAGGGCCCTTAGGCCTAAGCAGGGTTGATGCAGGGGCGCTCCCCAACCCACCTCAGGTTCCCGCGGGGCCTAAGCCACGCGCTAGCACACTCCCCATCCCCCACCCGTCGTGAGCCAGCCCCCGGGTCTAGAAGCTTCCTCTACTAGACTGAGGGGGCGGTTCGAGCTCCTGGGTCTTCTCGGCAACCAGCACCAAGTGGGCGCCTGCTGTGTGCGGAGGCTCTGATCCTTGCCCTGGGAGTGAGGGGAGAGTTGAGGCACCTCTCAGGCGGCCGCCTTCCCAGCCAGACCTCTAGCGAACCGGGGCTGGGCAGACCTCCCCAACCCATGCCCAGCTTGGCCCTTCCAGGCCTAGGGTTGCAGCGCTGTGGAGTCTCCCCGAGTTGCGCGCGTGGACTCGCTTCCAGAAAACCCTCGCAGACCTTCCTCATCCTCACACTAAGCTTTGCTGAGATGGAGCCTTCTTTTCAGCGCCCAACACCCGGCGCTTCGCCCAGACTCATCGCTGTGGCAGGGGAGGGACCAGGGAGGCCAAGAGCCTGAGGCTGGACCGGGAAAAGCCACGCCTTCTGGGCCTTGCCTTTGGCAGCCGGCCTTAACTGGCGCGTCGAAATTCTGTTTGAAGTCAGTTCCCAAAACGTCAGATATAGCCAGTCAAAGATAAATGTAAGAACACATTCGTCAACCTGGCTTATGTGTTTTCCATTTACCCAGGGCTTGGGATTAGCTGGACTCGGTTCTGTCACCTGGGACCTATATATAGCAAGGGGCAGAGGCACTGGGATACCCTGGGCTGTGGGGTGTGGCTGGGTTGCAAGGTCGCACTCCAGGTTTGGGCACTCCAGGTTTGGGCATGAGGCTGTCTCTCCACGGAGAATGATTCAGGTCATCTTTCCCGAGGCTTGGAGTCTCTATGCCCTTCACCCTCCCTCTCTGCCACATACCAGTTGTAGACGATGATCCAAGAATAACTTATGTGATATGTTATCCATTCATTCCACCAGTATTTACTGAGTACCTGCTGTGTGCCTGACTCAGTGCTAGGGACACTTGGAAAACTTCCTTGGCAACAATGATAACCACTATTCTATTTTCAAAGAGCCTATCCTGGGCCAGATATCATGCTATTTTTTTTAAAAGATATTCACATACCATAAAATTCACCATTTTAAAGTGTATAATTCAGTGATTTTTAGTACATTCACAAGGACCATGCATGATTTTAAATTCTCAAAATAATTATAGAGTGAGGTGTTGTAAGTCTGGGAAAAGGAAATCCTGGAGCAAAATACCTCTAAAAACCAAAATCAGTCAAAGGGAGAAATAAGGTTTAAAACCCGTTTATTGCTTACAAAACTGCAGTCCAGCCCATCTCTCCCTCCTGCTCAAGCAGCCACAACACCAGCCCTCCCCCTCACCTCTCAGGTACAGATAAGCCCTCTGTTGCCCAGGTAATTACCCATTGATATGGAGATGAACTTCGCCATCCCTGAGGAAAGATGCAAATGATCTAAAGCCTACTTGTTTACACCTCTGAACGCCTGTTGATAATGTAGATGAACCAAAGCCAGGCGAGAAATTCTGGATATGTTTCAATTTTACCCACAGGTGTTATTATCTACACTTAATAAATAAGGAAGCTAGTGCCCAGAGAGGCTAAGTAACTTGCCCATAGTCACTCAGCTAGGAACTGGCAGAGTGAGAATTTGAACCCAGGCTGTTTCTGACTCTGAACAAAGAGTCAGGGGCCAGATGATGGAGGGTCTTAAAAGTCATCCATGAAAAATAGGCTCTGTTGGGGAGGGCAACAATACGGAGCCACTGAAAGTTCTTAAGCAGGTAAGTTCTACCTGAGACTGAAGTTCTACCATGTAATCTTCTAATATGACAGCATCTAGAGTAGTAATCCTGGGTCTCTTTCTAGAAAGATTCTGGACTTGTCTGTTTCTCTCCATTCCCCTCACAGTCATTGCATTTATACTGCTGGCTCTTTGGACAAAATTGTATTGAGTACCTGTGCCAGGCACTGTCCTTGTTCAGAGAATAAGATGCAAAAGGACACAGTATCTGTCCCCAAAGAATTCCCAGGCTAGTGGGAGCCCCAGGACATGCAGATAAACCACAGTGCAACATGAGATGTGCTGTTAAGGTAGGTATAAGGGGCCCTGGGAATAGAGAAGAGTGACTGATGGTTCTGCCCCAGGAATAGGGACAAGGGAAGGTCAGGGGGAACATCAAAAAGGAGGTGATATTGACACTGAAGAGGATGTCTGTTTGATTGCCCCAAAGCAGACCCTAAGAAAAAGATTTGAATCAGAGTAATTTGGGAGATAAAGGAAAAGCTCTGCCTCGAATGTGGAGCTGAGACAGAGAAGGCAGCAATAGGGGCAGTTTGTGAAGTCACTTTACCCTGGGGACAACTAGCCATCATTCCCACTGAGGACCCTCTGGGAGACCAGGCAGAACATACTTCAGACTTAGCCCACAGACAGGTGAGGGAGCACGGGTGTGTATACACCCACTGCCTTTAGTCCCTGGCTCAGTGTCTAGGGCTGCTTCTGGAGGGCGTTAGTTCCCTGGCACTTTGGGCCTCATGGAACAGAGTGGCAATACCGGTTCCAGAAACCAGAGAAAGCTTCAGGCAAAGCAATACAGGTGTGGCAGTTGGATGTGGGGCTGGAGCACAGAGGAGCAGTAAAGGCAAGGACACTTGATAGACAGGGAACTTCTGCCTGGAGGACAAAGCTGAGCAGGCACTCCTGGCAGGGAACCAGCATGATGAAGGGCCAGAGAGCTATGTTTGGGGACCCTAGTGTGGCTGGAGCACAGGGTAAAGGTGGCAGAGGTAGAATATGAGGTCAGGAGGTGAGGGGCCATGATGCAAGGCCACAGGTCTGGCCTTCTCCAGGCAGAGGCTTTCAGAAGGGGACAGTGAAGGAGGGGTGGTCTGGTCTGAGGGGTACCCCTCAGCTACCAGGGGGCAACCAGTGAGCCCCAGAACACAAAACTTGCTGATCAGACCCAGGGCAAAATGTTCACAGTCCTTGCTGAAATGAGGTGCTGATGGTTCAAAAGCAGTGCCAGGATGTTGCTGTTGGAGGGGTCATTTCTCCTCTGAGTCACATGATAGTGCTAAGTAACTGAGTCACCTATGATGTGTGGGCCAGCCAGCCAGGAGGGCAGCAGATGCTGCAGACATGCTGTCTGGGCCTGGCAGCCAGATTAGAACCAACTGTGTGGCCGTGGCCCACCCCACCACGTACCCAACGCTTGTCACTCTGATTAAGAACTGTGAGCACGAAATGCGCTATGCCCAGAAGATTTGGAATAATCAGCATCAGCGTTTTGCCTTTGCCATCCAAGACTGCAAACATGCTCTCATCTGACCTAATCTGCGGTGTTAATGATGGCAGAGCAATTTCGAGAGGCAACTCTCAGCATTGATAAGGAGAGGAAAAGCACCACAGGGCTTAGGGGGCAGAGCTCCTCATAGAGGAGGCAGCTGCTGCCCTCCCCCATCCCAAGGCACTAATTGTAAATGCGGCCCACAGATCTGCCCTGTTTGAGGCTGGGCATCGGTGGGAGGAGAAAAGGGACACAGAAGAGCAGGATTGTGCATGGCACAGGGAAGTGGGGGAAGCCCACAGTGCACCTTAGAAAAAACTAGATAAAGGTGTTCTTAATTCTGGGTAAATGCAATCCTGAGCCAGCCAGGGCATGTGGCTTCTTGAGCAGAGTGTGAGCAGGAGTTGAGCCTCCACTTCCACCCTTGGCTGGGTGTCCGTGTGCAGTGACTGTCCTGCACCACTGGGCATGGCAACCCTGGGGAAAGAAGGAAGACAAGGGGGCACGACAGGAACCTGAAACTGCCGTTGCAGTAAGGAGGTAGGAGAGATGCAGTGTCTGATTCCATCCATTAATAGAAATGCTAGAAGGGGCTTGGTTGAAGACCATCTAGGTTAACCCCCTTCTTTTACTAAAAGGCTTAGAGAGGGGGAGTGATGTGTTCAAGGTCACCTGACTCTTCCCTTGATAAGAAACTCCATTAATAACATGAGGTCGGGTACCCAAGAGCAATAAGGACTTGCCCGAGGAGGTGTGAGAAGCCATGTTCCGTTGAGGCAGAGGAAGAGGCAAAAGCTGGCCACAGGGCTCTCTCCACCTCCAGGCCCTCTTCCTCCTGAACGGTGGCAGACTTCCTGCCACAGGCCACACCATCCCACCAAGAACCCCACGCGGCCCCTCCCTTCTGCCTCTCCCCAGATCATAGCACCAGCTGGCTAGCTCAGTCCACCTTTCATCTAGGCAAAGGGAGCCCCAGGCCCTCCTGCCGCTGGCCCGGCAGCATCTCCTGTGGCGAGGGTCCACTCCTCCCTCCCTCTCTGCCCTGGCATCTGTCTGCGGCCCAGTGGGCATTGGCTTTCTCTTTCACTTCTCTTGCCTTCTTCTTCCTCTCAGCCACTCATACTTTTCCAAGTGAGAGAAGCCTCCCTGCCCTTATAGTCTGGCTACCAGAATCTTCACACCAGCCAGGGGATCCACTGGAAACCAGAG